CTTTAAAAATGGTCATGGCTATTCCAAGCTCTATCATTGCAGTCAGTGGGTGTTGCAGTTGAACAGTCCACAAGTCGTCAAATAAAGCGTGCGCATTCATAATAAAACGTGCCGCAGACAGCTCTGGGGGATGAATAAAGGCCTTCTGTAGCGAATCCATGTGTTTTTAAAAGAAAAATATCCATATTTCAAACATAATAAACACTGTTCTCTCACTTCCGTTATCTGTCATATGCGGATCCGTTCTGGCGGAAGGCGTATGACGTATGCGCAGCGCGAGGCTCTGAGATATGCTAGTCTCGCGAGTTTGTTTATAGGAGCAAAGGAAGCAAAGTTTCCTTACTTTAGCAAAGGAAAACCAGTCTCCTCTTGGTTTATATCGAAATCCTCCGACATTTTTATTTGCAAATCTTTGGTTTGTACTTCTAATTCGTGACCAGCGTTTTGTTTTGTTTTCTCTCCGCATTCGTCTCTAATCACGCAACGCCGACGTCCTACGTCATCCGCCAGAATTTAGCAAAGGAAAACCAGTCTCCTCTTGGTTTATATCGAAATCCTCCGACATTTTTATTTGCAAATCTTTGGTTTGTACTTCTAATTCGTGACCAGCGTTTTGTTTTGTTTTCTCTCCGCCTTCGTCTCTAATCACGCAACGCCGACGTCCTACGTCATCCGCCAGAACGGCTTCAGTGGATGACAGTCAGCGGAAGTGAGAGAAAAGTGTTTATTATATTTGAAATATGGATATTTTTCTTACAAAAACACATGGATTTGCTACAGAAGGCCTTTATTAATCCCCCTGAGCTGTCTGCGGCACATTTTATAATGGATGCGCACGCTATATTTGACGACTTGTGGACTGTTCAACTGCAACACCCGCTGACTGCAATGATAGAGCTTGGAATAGCCAGGACAATTTTTTATATAACTCCAACTGGATTCGTCTGGAAGAAGAAAGTCATATACACCTAGGATGCTTCGAGGGTGAGTAAAACACAGGCTAATTTTCATTTTTGGGTGAACTAACCCTTTAAGTAATGTTCCAAACCAATACTGCTCAAATTTTGGCACAAATCTAAGGTTTGTGTCCTGAGTCGAGCTTCCTACACAAATGAGGCAGGCGTTTTCTCAGCGAGTTGACTGAGGTATGTAAAGCAACACCTGTCCTCGTACCTGATATCCACCAGACTCAAAGCAGGCCAGGCATGAGACGCTGTTATGCCATACAGAGAAATTGATATGGAAATCATATTGAAACCACCAACGGACACGGCCAACCGTTTGTGGAGCTCCTCAAATGCCATAGATTAGCACTAATGGACATCTTTCTTTGGCGTTATCGGGGAAGTGTCTTCAAGAGGAAATCTATTTTAGACAAGCTTCTGTTTCAATGCTCCAGGAAAAGTTTTATTTCTCAGACTTCTGTCTTGTGAACTCTTCTTGACCCAGACTGATGATGTTTAATTTGTGTTCCAGGAGAGAATAGAGATGCATGACGGCACTTATGTGGCCTCAGATGGTTTGACTTTGAGCAACTGTGACTGAGATCAAGCATTATTTATTACTGACCATGTTCTGTTTCATTTTTGGTAGGATTCGAGATGTTTTGCTGATTTTTGTTTGCTGTCTTGCCCTGAAAACGTCATTTGTTAATTGCTAATTTTCAGGCATTATTGTCCAGTGAATGTGCGTGCACATATTTGTTCATTCATCCTAATTGTGAATGCTGAGAGTCTCAGTGAGATTATTTGTCTGTTAAATATACCACATCTTCAAGGGCAAATGCAAAGCAAGCATTTCAGAAGGGAACTATACACTGAATGAGAATCTTTTTTGAGAAATTCCCGATGTGTTTATATAGATTTAATAGTTTTTTTTTGTTTTTTGCTGTAAGTAATATTTATATTTAAAGGGTTATAGTTCACCCAAAAATGAAAATTCTGTCATTAATTACTCATGCACCCTCATGTCGTTCCAAACCCATTAGACCTTCATTCATCTTTGGAAAAAAAATTAAGATATTTTTGATGAAATCTGAGAGCTTTCTGACTCTCCCACAGACAGCAACACAACTGAAATGTTGTCAATCCCAGAAACAAGGACATCGATAAAACAGTCCATGTGACATCAGTGGTTCAACTTCAATTTCGCAAAGCTAAGAGAATACTTTTTGTGTTCAAAGAAAACAAAAATAACATAATTTATTAATTAAAAATTATATATTTTGTGGGCCATTATTTGACACACCTACATTATTTATGGATTTCAGCAACTCATCATTGACTAAAATAATTTATCCACTCAGTTTGATATTGAATTTTTAAAAATGTTTTTACATAATTTATGTTACCTATTTCATTCTGTGAGTATGTGTATACATACTTATGGAGACAGAATTTCTGAAACATCCTCGGAGGAATGACCCGAGAAAACCTCTTTGTGGAAATATCCACAATGAAAATGGTTTAAAATGAATACATACTGTTAAAAGATTTATTGTACGGTCAGACTAGGATATTCCACCATCCTTCCTGCACTTCCACTCTAATAAAACACATCAGAATCTGCTAATCGAGGTCTTCAAGTTCACTAGAAAAATTACTGGAAGCTGTTCAGGAACCAAAGAGCAACAATGAAGATCTCAAAGATGCGTTCCATTGCAAGTGCAATGCAAAGTGGATTCACAGGGTATTCTGCCATCTTAAAGGGATAGTTCACCCAAAAATGTAAATTTGCTGTAAATTTACTCACCATCAGGCCATCCAAAATGCAGGTGACTTTTTTTCTTTAGTGGAACAGTAACGATTTTTAGCTTAGACCATGGAACTTTGATTCATAAAATGCAAATCAGCAGCTCCTGTCACTTTAAGAGTCAAAAAAGCATATACAGGCAACACAAAATTAATTCCCATGGCTCCTGACGGAAAATCTGTCAAAAATGATCATTAATATTAAAGAACTTATTATTTATAAAAACACACATGTATTTGTTATGCACATGTATTTTTTATTAAAGTATGGTCATTTATATTTACTTACAGAAGTATATTATTACCAAAACCTCAAATTACTGTAATATGTGTGACTCAATAACATTGGCACATGTATTTTTTATTAAAGTATGGTCATTTATATTTACTTACAGAAGTATATTATTACCAAAACCTCAAATTACTGTAATATGTGTGACTCAAGTTTCCTCTGTGTTTGATGACTTTGTAGGTTGTTCCAAATGAACACATTTTGTCAAGTGAAGTGAACTTCAGCTGATGTTCGGCGCTTGGGGAGTAGGGGGCAGTAAACACTAGGGAGCCTGTCAATCAGAATGCAGCTCAAGAATGAACACCCAAGGTTAGGAAATGGCAATAATAATTACCTTATATTAAGAACAGTGCATGTGGGGAGTTGCCACAAGGCTATGCATGCATCAAACTGTGTGAGTCTGAAAGAACCTGTCAGTCAAAGTTTATGGTTTAAAAAGGTGAAAAAGTTTAAGCTGATTTTAGACAACCCTGCTTTGCCCCTTACCAGCACTCCACATTGAATATTCATAAACTGCCTTGTCTGTTCGAAAAAGGCTTGAATTGTTCAGCAGGGCTACATGGGATACCAAAATAGAGAGTTAATTAACATTTAATCTCTAGTTCAACTGTGGGTCAAACACACAGGCCGGATGAACAATACAAAACATGATGAAAATGTTGAAACTATATCCTGTCAGAGGGAAGGCACTGTACACCCCACGACGCTTCGACAGCCCCCCAGTCTGCTGATTGAGATACTGCTGACAAACCTTTGACACAGATAGCAAACCAGCGAGGTAAATACAAAAGAACAATTACCCAGCGTACTTCAGTTTTGATGCAAGCACTTATCATATGCATGCAGCCAAACAATGACTGTAAAAAAAAAAAGATGGAAGACGTGTCGCTATTTCCTTCCACTAGAAAAATGCAGCCAAAATGTCCCATTTGTGGAGCCAGAGTCTGCGCAGTAATGATCGTGAGGTGGAGCTGCAGTATCAAAATCTCGCCCAAACTCCCGGAGACCCAATCACAAGCTCATAGCGAATAGCTAACGAAAACAAACTTACTGGAAACATATATCAGCATGATATGAACTACCGATTGAAATGTTTTGAAATGTCTGTTTCAGGACATGAGCATATGCATATGTCACACGTCCTTGTTCAGTGCCTGCGATATTTCTCTCCAGAAGTTATGAGCAATAAAAAAGTCTCTGTACTCGTTCATACTACGGTGTCTTTTAATCTTGCCATTTGCCGTAGTTTGTTCCATCTTATCGGTTTTCGCCTGTGAAACAATTGTCTTTAAAGTGTGCACAAACTAATTAGTGAAAAAAAAAATTAAAGACATGTGCGAACTGAGCATACATTGTAAAGAAAAATCTGACTGTGCGTGAAAAAACAAAAAAACCTTTTACACAAAAATTAAGTCAACTGGTGTAACCAAGAAAAAACAACAAATACAACAACATGACAAGGCAAGATTAGTTCAGATATCATGTGATATGGCTGGCTCCCCTTAAAACATCATGTATGAATTAATCATTCATAAGATAAAAAAAAAAAACTGCGTATAAAAACAAACCTTTCACAAAACAATCAGTGGTGCAACCAAGATGCAGATTTGTATATTTTAAAAGTATCTTTAAAAACCTTTTTGAAAACAATGATTAGGTTGTGTAAGCGCACATGTATTCCACGTGTTTTTCACTTTTCACTTTTATGCAAAACTTTTATAACATTTTCCATCAACCGTCACGTAAAAATTAATAGCCTATTTTATGTTATTAATTTTTACTTGATTGTTGATGGAAAATGATATAAAGTACGTTTTGCATAAAAGTGAATATGCATAAAAGTTTTTCATCAAGTAAACATGCCACTCTAAAATGTGCAGTTTTATCACACAGCACAATGCCACAGATGTCGCAAGTTCTGAGGGAGCGTGCAATTGGCATGCTGACTGCAGGAATAGTGACTGCACTGTTTTATGTTTTGGTGAACTGGTTTCTAATTGATGTCTTCATATGAATTTGTAAAAAAAAATGTGCGATTTGTAGAAAAGTACAACCCTAACTCTAAAAGTACTTACCCTAAAGACACTCGTGCTTACTTTTTTTCTAAAAATCATGTTTTAATATGATTCACATCATACGAATTCATGAAATCTCCAACCCGGTAAATAGTCACATTTTCCTGTGAGATCTCATTGAATTTATGCCCCTAATGCTTAAAAAAGCATTCTTAGGGTCATCGCTGAGCTTACACTAGTAACTTTCTTTCTCTCTGGTAAACATCCTCGTTTACTTATTGTCTAAATGCACTGAAAAAAATAACTTGTAGTTATACAATAACAATTTTCAGTAAATTTTAAGGCTACTGCACTGTACAATCTACTTACTATTGAACTTAACATTCATAAAGCAATTGAGTAAATATTACATAAGTATATTTAATTTCACATATACAGAGTTCTGGCATGAAACTCTAGATGGCGCAGTCCGATAGGTCTAGCTCAATCTGACCTAGCGACATCATTGTCACATGGCAGCTTATTGGTTCTCTCCTGTATCGGTAGCCAATGAGCTTATTGCTCAACATTTAAATACCTGGCTTTTGTTTGCTGTAGCAGTTTGCAGCGCACTTCAGAAATCCTCCACCTTCCCCAGCTCCACCTGTATAGATCTGCTGGTGATTCATGTATGCCAGTGGTTTTCAATACTGGTCCTGGGGACCCACCACTCTGCAGATTTTGTATGTCTCTCTTATCTGACACGCAGCGCAGTTCAGTGATCTCTCTCCTAATGAGCTGATGATCTGAATCAGGTGTGTTAAATAAGAGAGACATGCAAAATGTGCAGAGCGGTGGGTCCCCAGGACCAGGATTGAAAACCACTGATGTATGCTATATGGGGGTTATCATATGTGTTATATGTGCAGCAGCAATATTTCTTTCATGCTCACAGCAGCATGTTGTTGATATATTGGCATTAGCAAGTCTCGGTACTTGCTCTGCCGCAGCAGCAGCAGCAGCAGCAGCGTAGCAGATCGCCAAGACCAAATACATTAAGATTTTCATGTACATTACCATGCCAATCCCTCCGAGAGTTGTCATGACAGAAATAGAATTAAAGGGATAGTTCACCCAAAAACTAACTGAACGTCTACTGAACGTAAACACTGCTGATTACGTTGATTACGTTCTTGGGTACTCTCCAAAATGGTGGAAGACTTTAACTCAGGGAGAAGAATTGTTGAATAAATTATGTTATTATTGTTTTCTTTGCGCACAAAAAGTATTCTCGTAGCTTCGTAAAATTACAGTTGAACCACTGATGCCACATGGACTATTTAACCGATGTCCTTGCTACATTTCTGTGAGTTGATCATGGTAATATCCTTGCTGTCTGTAGAGGGTCAGAGAGGACTTATGTTTGATCAAAAATATCTTCATTTGTTCGTGTGAAGATGAACGAAGGTCTTACAGGTTTGGAATGACATGAGGGTGAGTAATTAATGA